CAAGGTGTAACTCACTATTCATATGCTAGATTTTGCGACACCTATAGATTTCACACCCTACCTAGGACTACTTTATCCTCAAGGTAAACCTAACAGAGTAGTATATGTCCTACACATGTAATCCCCACAACTCTTTTCCTTTCTCCTGAGCTTCTTCTGCAATACTGTTCATAATATATATAGGATCTTCTGTGCTTTCTCTACCTAAACTAGCATAGTTCGAGCCTTTGAGTATACTATATGTTTTAAGTACCTTTTCTAACCTTTTCATAATTACTCTGCTAAAAACTTTTCTTACGTTTCTAAAAGAATAATAGGATGCATATTGTTTAGTTCATAATTCCAGTCCTCTTTTTTGAGAATTGGATATAGTGCTCCTATTTTCCACTTTAGTGGTATTTTGCTAATCTTTATACATTTGAACATAAGTCTGATACAAGCTTTTTTAACTTTGTGGCCAATATTTTTAAGAACTGTGTATGTTATTTCTAATAACCCTGGTGCTGAGCTGTTAAGTGTTTTCTGTAATGCCTCATTCCACTCTTCTATTTTTATCTCGCTTAACACTTTCTTACAGTATACCAACTCTCTTCTATTTTGGGCTTAGATTTATACTGCTATGCCCAGTTCTTTGAGTAACTTTTATATTAAAATTTTTTTATGCATTACACGGGTTTACAGCTAGTATATAGTATAAAATTTAAAAATAAATTATATCAGATACTGTATATTTAAATAAATACTGTAGCAACTAAAACTATATGTAATTTATATATATATTTTTTTATTATTAAAAAATATTTAACCCAATATAATTAAAAAAATACTTTCAATTTTTATAATAAAATATATATATTAAATAAATAATTATTAAAATTTATACAAAATACAATATTTGTATAAATTTTAATAATTTATATAATCATTTTGTATTTTTTTAAAAATTTGTATATATGTACAAATACAAATTTAGTATAAATCTATACAATTTGTTTTGAATCTACTTACATAATTGACAAGTATTAAATTCAATTTGAATGCAAATTAAAAATCAATGCGTAAAAACAAGAACAATACATTATGAATTTGTTTTATAAAAAACTTTGAATAATAAATCATTTTTAATAATAAATCTAAATGCTAACGGTCCGATTTTCTATACCAAAATTAATATCTTCTTCGTGTATCTCGTTTATCATTTCTCTTTCCACCAATTGACTTGCCTGGCATTGGAGTAACAAAGTCGTTATGTTCCATGGCACGAGTGAGTTTAACGGGTGGACGAAGAACTGGAGAGATACCTTCAATATTTCTCCTCTTGTTTGAAGGAAATAAGAAAAAAAAGGGGGCAATAGAGGATATCTTAGCAAAACAAAACCAAAACCAACTTCCTCAAGCCTTA